AATTATAATCATCCGTAAAGTAAGCTCTTGTGTATTTGTATTAATCGAAAAAATAACTGTCGAAAACTTCATTATTAATGCGAACGGTCCTTAATGAGACAAATCAGCGATAAATTATAAAAATCCACACTCTGTCTCGTGTAAATATTATTGAAAAAAAAAAAAAAAAAAAAAAAAAAAAAACCCGTTCTCTTCAATTGTTCAAATAATCGGCAAATAAAGAGAAATAGAGACGCGTGATAAATAAAATTAGAGTTAATGAGCGCAACTTTGAATAATGAGAAGCATGAAAAAAAAAAAAAAAGGATGAAAGGTGCCAAACATAATACGTGCAACGCACGTGACGAGCTCTGTCGACACTTAAAAAATTTAACAATCATTGAGCAAAACATGTTCTTGATCGAGCGACGTCGCCGTCCCCGTCGCCATTGCTACTACCACTCTCTTTCGTCATCCTACAATAAGACGCGGAAATACAATGAATCGCTTTTATTATATCACCGCTCGATGTCGTCGTTCAAAAGGTGAACGTGCCACGACGCAAGCAACGTCCTCGTTGACGCTGGGTATCCTTCTCCCCTTCCACCAACGGATGTGCGCAGATTAATGGCTCACGTGCTGAGGTTACGATACCCGTTACACTGTCGCGTATTTATCTTTAAGAGAACTGCCAATTGGTAAAATTAAATTTCCGCAAATAGGCCGATTCGGCTTTAAAATTTAATGAACAGCGGCTTATTTCGAAGCGACGTCATTCGTATTTCTTTAAGCGACCACGTATTCGCGAATACGAATATCCATTAATTTTATTAACGAAATCAATCAAATAAGAAAACAAATGGTCGTCCATCAATTTAGTAGTGCTTAGTTGTAAAAATGTGAGGTGACATAGGGATTGGTAACGGAATTGAAATTGATGTAGTTGATCGACACGGCGTATGCGCTATGAATGGCTTCGCCGCCGCTATGTAATCGTAAAATTTATAGGTATGCGTATTACGTGACTTTTTGAGTTCTTCGATCTTTGAATGAGCGGATCTAAAAATAAAATGACCCAGTGTTTGAACCGAATATGACTCACAAATCGTATTTGGATTCGTCAATTTTCAATATTATTAATATTCTTCGCTTTCATATTATTGTGTAGAGATTATTGGTAAAGTCTTTGCACTTAGGATACGACGTAACAATGATTCTTCCCTTTACGTTCGTATTCTTTATATTTTTGAATATCGATGAACATATATATCTACGATAATAATATCGTCTATCGTATAACATACTTGAGAAATTAATTAATTTGTGTTTGCTTTTTTATCGCAAGTTTTCATTATGATTGTCGACGCTTAAAATAGATGTTTTGCAAAAATACCACATTTATTAAGTTTACAAAGAAAAATATTTTTAAAACGTCAACGACAAAAGTTCATTACTTAAGAGAGTAATATATATGAAAGATATAATAACGAGTATATAAACTCGAGGCTCCAAGTACGTAAAAATAAAGCATATACTTGGACACGTGTTTATTGCTGTAAATATCACAGGCATCTTTTATTTAAGATGATGACAATTTTCAATTTAAAGGGCATTTCACCTCTAAAGTTTAGTAATTTTTCTTTAAAATGTCGAACGATTAAACGTTGCGACCAGTAATATACTTTATTAGCAGTAAGATTTAGAAATATCGTTAAATTCCGGGGGCCCAGACATATTATCAATAAATTACTTATCAAATTATTAAAAGCTACGAAAATTGTATGAATGTAAGTTTATTCATAATATACATGTTAGCTTCAATTGAGGACAATGACATCATTACCATTAAATTTCCAGACCAGTAATAACAAACTTATTTTTACCAGACTTTTTAATCATGATACCGATGATGGCGCATTGAAGGATTGAGAAAAGGAGGGAATTACGAATGGATAAACATACCGACATAGCAGCACGCGATATGCGTCGTAAAAACGAAACACGTGGCTGCGTAATACGCAAATTCAACGACAACCAACGCCATTAATACAAACACTTAGCCACGTAAAAATGCTATCGCGTCACTTCCCACTTTCGTTTTCGTTTCCAACCCAATCCTTTCCATACGAGAATCAAAATATCGCCAAAAATAGTCGAGCTTTAGCATCGACAAAAGCTTGAGAAAATCGCGAGGACGATGGATTAAACGGATTACTCACTTTCAATCAACTATATATAAGCTGTCGGGTCGAAAATTTACAATTATTTTTAATGAATTATGTTTAAATAAACGAGCGACATTTAAATACACTCTAACTAACAATATCCTATTCAAATATTCATTAAAATATCCGGCAATAATTTATGAAAAATAACATACAAGATGTTCACATAACTTCATATAAGTTTATATATATATATATATAATAAGACAGACGATGCTGTGCTTTGAGTAGAAAGTCATTACCTATTTTTATAAGAAAATCGTATGCGCTTAAATTTCACGCATAAATGGTAAATAGTTAGACAATATCGCATTTAATGACAAATTTTCATACTTTTTTTTTTTTTTTTTTTTTTTTTTTTTTTTTTTTTACAGAATATTTAAATATTAAATCACATAACATTTTTATGGAAGATATTTCATTCTAAAATTATTTTTACTCATTCAAGACTCTAATAATTAAATCCGCTTATATTAAGATAAATTTCGATGAAAGAAACCAATGTTTGTACAAAATTACAGAATCTATTAAGCAACATAAGCACCAATCAATTGAAATACTTTTCTATTAATTTGTTTACCATAGTATTATTAACGCGCATGGAATCCTTAAAAAAAAAAAAAAAAAAAAAAAAAAAAAAAAAAAAGAATACAATTTAAAGATCGTATTAATGAAATATTAACATTGATTTAATTCTCGAGCGATGAAAAATAAAAAAAAAAAAAAAAAAAAAAAAAAAAAAAAAAGAATACAATTTAAAGATCGTATTAATGAAATATTAACATTGATTTAATTCTCGAGCGATGAAAAATAAAAAAAAAAAATATTAAAAATGAACGATAATATGTTGATTTCCTTCTAGACTATTTTTATTTCTTCAATACGATACAAATCTACCGAACTCTGACGACACAATTTAAAAAATTCTGTTTATCATTTTGATGTCAAGTTCAACGAATTTTAAATTCTATCTTTTTATCCTTGTATATTATTAGAATTGCGTGTACTAATACTGAAAAGAAAGTAATTTTGTTAATCGAATTTTTAAAACTTGACAAGCATTTTATTCCATACCGTTTTCGCTGTACACGTGACGAACAATTTTCAGTACATCCAGCGACAAAGACAGACGCCTGCGCCCAGAAGGCAGAAATTTTCGTCGCTTCTATGAACATAGAAGAAGCGCGATTCATTTAATATTTGCCAAGATCTTGAGGCGTTCCTTATCAAATTGCAGATTTATCAAAGGAGGACGCGGGGTATTTTTTTTATTTTTAATAAATTCCTTCGGTTCAAGCGCTTTTTACATTTGAATACACGAACACGTCGATTAATCCAAAAATACAACCACCTGCTTCACCCGTTTACATTGGAAATACTTTCTTTCAACGAGTGTTCCCGTCCGTGTATGAATGCTACACGAGTTTTTAACGATGCGGGCGTTTCAGTAAGGGAAACTCGATAATAAATGTGATCACCCATAAAAATCGCCTCAGACGCGCATTGTCTATTAATATTCATGCAACATAAGCATTGTTTGAACGTCAAACGTGAAATGTTTGTTACTTGTTAAAATGCCCGACGGCGCCTTTACTTTTTGTCAATCCCTCCCTTCTCGATCAATTACATTGACAAACACCGTCAACTCCAACTTCTAATCTTCTATTATTTTCAACTCGATACCTTCATAATACCATCAAGTATATTCGCTTAAAGTCTTTGTCTCTTTTTTTTTGTAATTAAGCACATTCGTCATCGATTTGGAGGGCGATCCGCTACGTTTCATTAATACTAATGAAATACAATTTTCCCATTATCTTAAGCGATTAGGCATTTAAAGGCTAATTAATTCGCAAGGGAGGAATATATTGAGAGAGTCACTCCGCTCATCAATCCTGCCCCCCCTCCCTCCCGCCCACCCTCCCCCCAATCGCCACACCACCGTCACTCGACCAAGTCTGACCTGTTTATTTAATGGAAGCTCGTTTGTGCTACATTGCCAATTTAGTAGTGGATTGATAGGTTTTATTTTGAAACAAAAGCCGTGTGCCTTAGTTATTAGAGTGCCGGCGTTCGACCGCCAGGACTATTTTGTACACACCGCACGGAGAAAGATGAAAAGCGAAAAGAGCACGCGAACGGCAAACAAAAGACGCGCGTGGGACGAAAATTCCACGGCATATCCCCCGTGTCCCCGTCACGCCCACAGCAACCGCTTCGTCCTTAGCACCGGCCGTCAGTCAGTCGCCCCTGGAGGCTCGTCGTCCTTCTCCCCGCGCTCGAGTCAACACTCGTGTAGCGCCAGCGTCAGCGCCAATCCCCTTCCCCCGTCGTAGCCAGTCGCGCCGCAGTCACCGCAGTCGCCGCAGTCACCGCAGCCGCCGACGCCGCCGCCACCGCCGTCGCCGCCGCTTCGTGACGTAGCGGCTCACGCTCGCTGACGTCACGATCACGACCTCGGCCGGGGCCGGCCAGACAGCGAGCACGTGAACAGCACGCGGGCGATCACGCCGTCGGCGACTGACGGCCCGAGCTCCCATTGGCCCGACAGAGCCGAGCCCCTGCGCCCCATTGGCTCTGGCGACGCGGCCCGTGGCGCATGATCGCCGCCGCGTGCGTCCGAGAGGGAGTCCTCGTCGGCGCCTCGTCCTCGGTACGCAGCGGGGCTCGCCGAGTCCGCCGCCACCACCGTCGTCAGCCTCATTCCGCATTCGCGCGGCTCCCGTGGCTCTCGTGCCTTTCGCACTCCTCCCGTATCCACGCAAGCGCTTGCGTCTCCACCTGCATCTGCACCTGCACCCACACCCACATCTGCACTTGCATCCCGTTCTTGCACGCGCTCGCGCTAACGTTCGTCGACACCGGTGCATCAACCGCAGCAGCATGCACCCAACACCGATGGACCAAGGCTCGGCTCCGCTCTCGCCACCGGCCTCGCCTCAGCTCCGGCAGCTTCACGTGAGTATCACCGAGCGTTGATTTATCTCTAAGCTACTTCAACGTCCCGTCCCATCTCGTCCCGCGCCTCATGTCCCTCTATGATGTTTTCAATGTTCTCCTGGATCAGCATCATCCGAGACTCCGTGAAAACTCGGTGAAAACGGCCACTCGCCTAAACGTTGAAAAAATTACTTTTTACAAATTACCATTAATGTTATTTTATCGATACACCTCGACCAATGTCATCTTCATATACGCCAAGTTCACTCACTCGTTATTTCAACTTTAAGTCGGAAAACCGATATTCCAAACACTTTCACTAAACATCTCCGTACATCAGCTAATCTCTTTAATGGCCATAAAGTTAATCGTCGTCCAGCTCGCGTTCGCCCCAATTTCTCATGCCAATTTGGAAACGCATTATTTCGGATTTTATGATATCAGGGCGAATAATAAGAATTTGATAAAACCTAAAATATGCCCGAGCATAACATATACCAACGCAATAGCCAACGCGAGAAAATCCACGGTGAGTTTAATCGACGTAAACCCATGATCGTCGACGCTCTACAGACCTCCGTATTATTAAAAGTTGCGTACCATCATCAACCCCCCATCCCTCCCCATTTCGCCACCCTCATCATCATCATCATCATTCATCATCGTCCTGTTAAGGCCTGCGGTCTTTTGCGTAAATTAGAGACGACTAAGGAGCTATTGTGACGCGCAGCCGTACAATGGTAATGATTAGCGAGGGAAACAACGGGAGTTGGGGGCGGTAATGAAACGAGGCGGCCGGTTCCCTCGTAATAACAGAGATTGAGAGAAGAGGATGTATTTTAAAATTAACCGTGCGCCACTTGTCTCTTATTTGTCAGGTCGAGCCCCTTCAGTCGACCTTCAGCGTAGCGGCTCTGCTTGGTGAGAAGCTCCAGAACGTAAGCAACAATAATAATGTCCCCGCAATGTGTTGTAAGCTCGGCAACGACCAGCTGGCCTTGCCACCCACGCCTCAGCCGTCGGATTCCGAAGAGGACGAGCCGCCGTGGAAGCGGCAGTGCCTCGAGCTCACTAAGGTAAGCAAGGATTAATAAAGGATGGGAGAAAACACGCGCGGCGATAAGCCGAAATTTCCCGCTCAACTTCCGTACGTGCGCGCGCGCGCACGTGCGAATGCATTTATGAATGCTGCGCACATTGCTGTTCTTATGCTTGCTCCAAGTAAATTTACGAGGTCACGAGCGTACACACGACTTGCCCTTCCTCTGTACTATATCGATTTGTTTTGCTCCCGTGCCGCGTGCTCGCCGTCTCTCGGCCAAACTCATTATTGTTTATCAAATTACTATAGAGACTCGGCGTTTCGACAGCCTTTCGCTACCTTTTCCCCGACGGTTTTTTTTTTTTTTTTTTCGGTCTACGAAGCAGACAGCTCGAAGATTAGAGCCGCGTAAAAATAGATTAGCCGCGTAACTAACCCGAGCAGCCCGTTCATTAGAAAATACAAAGAGCGGCAATAATAATGAAAGAGGATAATGATAAGACGATAAGGTTGTGTGACGTTTTGTTGCCGACCTATTGTTGCCGACCGGCTTCCTCCTCCGAAAGTGCCCTTTCGCAAGTCCCCATCTGCCGTTACTCTCCAGCGGGTGGTGCGGTATTATAATTGCTCGGGATGCCATAGCGTTGATTCAATAAACCATTACCATAACATTATTTTTCAGCAGCGGCGGCAGCAGCGTCACGATGGGGCGGGATACGAGGCCCCGGCAATCCCGGAAGCGGTTGCTCGGGTATCCGTCATTATGCGAGCGAACCGTGACGGCACCTGCAGCCCGGCCAATATCGCAGTTCCCGGTCTACCCATCACTATGCCCAAGACAACTACGTCAAAGCCGAGAACCGACTCGCTAAACTATTACACGGGCACCACCGAGAATATTCTCAAGAGTCTCAAGTTCAAGATGAGCTTACGCAAAGAGGAGATTATCGTCAATAACAAAAATACCGATCGTGAATTTGGTCCCGAATCGTCGAAAAACTCCGCTGTCCGCGATACCACCACCAGCGATAACGAACGAACAATCGGCCACATCCACAACCACCACCATAATAACAATCACGACCACGACCACGACCACGACCACGTTCATAATCACAATCATAACCAGAATCAAAATCAGAATCAGAGTCAGAGTCAGAACCAGAACCAGAATTTGAACCAGAACCAGAACCAGAATTTGAACCAGAACCAGAACCATAACCAGAACGTTAACCACCGCTGCAGTGCTATATCGACTCTGGGTAGCAATGGCGTACCAATGGTGATGCAGCAATCGAAGCTCCTGCCATTGGCGCCAAAACCCGCTCCGATCGTTGTCACCAGCCTCCTCGGCTCCTCGCTCGTCCTGCCCCGCACGCCCTTGCTCCTCGTGGCTGCTGGCGGGGCTACGGGTGCCGGTAGCGGCTCGGGCGCCACGACGAGGCCTTCCTCGGGTCCCTCGCCCGCCGACTTCTCCGCCCGTCGACGCGTCTACGAGTGCGAGTACCCGGGCTGCGGCAAAAACTACTTCAAGTCCTCGCACCTCAAGGCCCACACGCGCACCCACACCGGCGAGCGACCGTTCCCCTGCCCCTACGAGGACTGCGCCCGTAGATTCTCCAGAAGCGACGAGCTCTCGAGGCACAAGCGCACCCACACCGGCGAGAAGAAATTCGCCTGCGTCGTCTGCCAGCGGCGCTTCATGCGCAGCGACCACCTCGCCAAGCACGTAAAGAGGCACGCGAGGGATCGCGGTACGAGCGTCGGGAGCTCCGTATCGGCCGGTCTCGGCCAAGTCGCCGGACCCGCGGCGACGCCCCTCCGACTTAGCCTCCTTCCGCTCATCGCTCCCAAGGTCCCGCAACAACAGCAACAGCAACACCAACAACGGACACTCGCCGCGGCGTGATAAAAAGGAGCCAGCCGACAACGAGGCTACGTACCACCTCGGCTCTCTTTCCTGCCTCGCCTATTACGTATCCCGCCCCTCCCCAGCCCATGACGCCTTGGACGCCGTCGAGGGCCAAAGGCTGAATGAGCTTGGCCGCGCGAATGACTTTATAAAGCAAGTGGAGGAGGAGGTGGAGGAGGAAGAGGAGGAGGAAGAGGAGGAGGAAGAGGATGAGGAAGAGGATGAGGAAGAGGATGAGGATGAGGATGAGGATGAGGATGAGGATATGAGGATTAGGAAGAGAAAGAGAAAGAGGAAGAGAGCGCGAACCACGCCGACTATTGCGGGAGTCGCGTGCGCCGCTCGTTGAGATAAACATGTACCTAAGTGTGTCTGTGATTCTGCAGTGATGAGGCCCCGCGCGCCTATACCATTGCATAAATATTTTAACGAGTTGTCAAGAGATATTTTAACTATTAAAGCGAGATTTAAAAAGTTTATATTTATTGTTTTCCTGCCGTTTCGCATCGCTCGCATGATCCTACGATCCTGCGACGTCAAGAGGAAATGCATGCAACGACGATTGACATTTTTCATTGAGCCACGATGATAGGTGAAGGGCGAGCGATGCTGCCAGTAAGATTTCTAATCTAAAGCGCTGCATTTACGTGTCACATAACGAGATGTGCAAACATACAATGTGTATTGGAGTCGCTCTGTCGAGTTGTCGACCGGATGTACGACATTCGCGTTAGGCGTACGCGATCGTCGAATTATGGAGATGCGCGATGCTGCGCGCATCCACACGGTATCTAACATTGGATTCTAATGTTGCTTGATTGTTGCGCGAGAGCTTTATGTTAGGAGGTGATCGGTGAAACTATAAGAAGTAAAAGCCTAAGGCCTTTCCCAGGCTTAGCTTAGGTCGCATGTGCGCGTATGCGAGGGAGGGAGTGTCTCGGATTTTGAATAATCGCTTCCTCTGATTAGCCGAGATGATGCACCTATGACTTTTCGCAATCCCAGGGAACTGTGAAATATCCCGCCGACTGTAGTTTGGTGACGATTTATCGGCTCGCATTATCGTTAAAACTCGCGTCTTTTGTTGTCGGAAAAATTGAAGCGAATACGCGGCGATTATGGAAATTATCGTTTTCGCATTCGACTCTCCGTTTATACGCTCAATTTTTATTTTTTTTTTTTTACCTTAGACCGACCTAAGCAATATTAACTTGGTGCACATTTGGAATCCATTCGACGTCGTTCGACTTTCTTATCGCCAGCCAAAACATCCGAAGACAACATATAATGCTCATTATACGGCAAGAAATACGCTAATTGCCGAGCATCATCGATAATACACGTTTTTTTTTTCTCTTTTTTTTTTTTTTTTTTTTTTTTTTTTTTGTTTTTGTTTTGTCTGATTTATTGGAAACAATGCAATGTATATTTTTCCTACAGTTTTATTCGATCGTCGATTTATGTAAATATCTAGCATTATTTGAATGTCGAGACGAAAAATTCAACAGAATGATTTCGAAAATCTTCCATTTCTGCGCATGTAGTTGGAGCTAAATATCTAATCAAGGCATTAAATGATCTTGAATTCTTTTGTAAATGATGATTTGTTTATTTTTATTACCCCCCCCCCCCCCCCCCACACACACACATTTTCCTGAAACGTACACAGATGCGCGCATACGTACGCAAAACAAAATATGCATACTACGTTCTCTTACAATTTTACTTATTTATTGAACTCCTGATGATGCTAGAGTTATTTTCTAGCATTTGTCACATTAACATAAATAAGCATAAACATCTAATTGCAATTATGATATGTTCAGGCTAAATATTGATTTTACATAATCATGTTCATGAATTTCTAATTATAAATATTTATCTGTGATTCCGACGAAATTAAATTTAAAAAAAAAAAAAAAAAAAAAAAATTACACGAATTAATACATGTATTATTTCGAAATTTTTTCTTCTACAGCCATCAACATAATATTATTTTTAATATTTTTGATATATATATATATATATATATATATATTTTTTTTTGTTGATAAAACTATTTTTTATAAATAAATATCGGCAATCAAGAATAATATTAAATGAATTTCTCTATTCTGATTAAATGATCATTAACAATTTCAATGTCCAATACTTGATGATTTGTCAATATTAACATTATTAGAAATTATATATTAAATTCGGGATAATTTACGTTCAATAAATGATGTTTATAAGCAGAAGCAAAATTCGAGTATTTCGTTAAAGGAAATTACACTTGATAAATTATTATTTTTTTAATTTTTAATACAAATATTTAATAAAAATAACATAAGCGAATAAAAACGATATAATGCTATTATTGACAGTTATATTAGAATAAGTTATATCATTATATCACGCGTGTAATGAGTGAGAGGCAAACAATGATCACAAGCACTTATGAAATGATTTTAACGCTGCTTTAAATCAGTTAATTGAAAAATTATTGCTCAACTGTTAATATTTTAATTTAGTCTGATTGAAAATAATATTCAATATATCTAAACTAAGATAGAAATTCATGTTGAGAGTATTTTTATCACATAAGAAATGGACGAACTATATTTGTCTTTTATCGAAGTAACTTATAAATGCTTAGATACATCTTATAATCATATTAATCAAATATGTGAATCACATATTTATGAAGTAAATAAAAAATCTTGATATAAATTGTATAACTTTGAGGCGCTCGTAGAAAACTTTTTTCTTTTTTTTTATTCTTTTTTTTTTTTAATACACACCTATAAAATTTTTATTATTATTATATATATATATGTGTGTGTGTGTGCGTGTGTGCGTGTGTGTGTGTGTGTGTGCGTGCGCGCGTGTGCATGTGTCTGAATATTACTTTATGATAACATCAAACGTAGAGAAAAATTTACTCAGACTTAATTAATGCAAAATAAATATGATTATAAATTTTTCAGATAATAAATCATTAAATGTACTTATGATAAAATTTATTCCTATTCGTTTTCGAATTAATTAAAGTCAACTTAGCAAATTAACCAATATTAATAAAATATTTGTACTCGTTTATTTTATGTGTATAAGCAGCATCGTTTGAACTAGATCAAATAATAAAACTTTCTAATTTTAATGAATAGCACATCGGGATACAAGTTTGTTTTTCGTTTTTTATTTATTCACAATTGAGAAAGTACTATCGTTGCCTAGAAAAGTAAATTGGAAACCTGCGCAAGCTTATATCTCTCTCAATTACATTCTTGTAAATTACTTACAAGTGAATCATGAATAATAATTCAAGTAAAATCACTGCTGGTAATCAATCGACACTTTTTAAATGAGATCGATTTAAATATTGACATTATTTTAATAAAGAAAATTGCTCGACTCCATATGATAAAAAGTATGATCGTTCGTTCATCGATTGCCGTTTATTTTGGCCAATTGTCAAAATTAATAATAGGCGTACACATTCGACTAACCAAGCATTACGCGAATTCGAAGCTTTTATTCTTTCAAATGGCCGTACTGGAAATTACCAATCATTGCGTCGGCCGGGGACTTGTTTACGTTCGCGAAATTCGTCTCCGAGTATTCTTCAACCATAAAATATATGTACATAAAAATGTAAATACACGTCATCTCGTTGAAATATCAAATGAATATTCATCGAGACTGAGGCACCGGTTAATTGCATTGTAAATTCCGACAAAACCCGAGAAAAAGGACAACGGACAGCAATGTCCTTGTGCGTGAATTCGGGCCGTCTGGCAAAACAAGCCGCCGACGCCTACGCCGTCATCGCGCATCGTCATCACGAGCGTGGCATCATCGGCTGCGCACGTGAACGCGGCCTGATGATGCTTTCCGCGCCACTGGCTAAGCCGTCGCGCTCCACATTTGCGTTTATAAATAAAGTCGAGCCTGTGGGGCCAACGCGGCGAACACGCTCACCCGTTCTTGCCGCCAGCGCCGCCGCCACAACCACCGCCGCCGCCGCCGCCGCCGCCGCCGCCGCCGCCGCCCCAGCCACCATTCGTCCAGAAGCCGCGTGGGCGCGAGACAGGAAGAGTCGACAAGTGCGCGCGAACACGTGGCGTGTCGATTATAAATAGAGGAGAGCCGAGTAACTTTTCATGCCAAGCCCGTCAAGATGCCCACCCCCTATCCCCTAACCCCTACCCACTTTCATTCCCTATTTGCGGCCAAGGCACCCGAAGAACGCCATTAGAAAATTTGTACGCGACACGAGTCACTTTTGCTTATTTATTGCGCGCGCTTTACTCCCAATTGCTGCTCGTCCAATCTCTTCTCAATTAAATACTTGGACGAACAAAGTGCTGCCATGATCCACCCGTGCCTTTAGCCGAGCCATTTTAAAGCAATTGCGTAGATCTTACGGTAGATCCTCCAATACTTATAATTCGCGCATATAGAGCACATTAATATCGAATAATTGCGTGCCGCACTCAGCTTCGCAGTCATCATTACCAATGAAAAATGATGCACGATTGCACTAATGGTTTTTCGGTTGGGTGGGTAGAGATAGAGGGAGAAAGAGAGAGAGAGAGAGAGAGAGAGAGAGAGAGAGAAAGAGAGCGTGAGAGCGAGAGAGGAGAAGAGAGGGAACGAGGCGAGGCGCGCTCGTCGACTGACCTGATCTGATGTATAACATCGGCAGGCGATTATGATCGCGATCGAGCATCGGGAAAGGCCCCGATCAGCGGATTTCCCCGTGGCGCGTCCGGGGCGCCCTGTTCATTAGCATCTCGCGAAACAAGCCGACTTTCTTGCATCAGCCAAGGACCGCGACAACCGCAAGGTGAACGCGAATCGGAACCGGTAGATGATGTAAAATCGTTGCCGATTGCCACTTTTGCGGATCACCACGATGCCTGCGACGTAACTCCTACAGTCCCGGATATCCTCGTTGGGGTGCGGTACCTGGACACCTCGACAATTACGAATATCAATTTGACTAATGCTCGATGCATTATAAATTATTTCACGGACTGGCTGTGAGACTCGACAATCATTTGAATATTCGCTTATTTTATAACAAGTAAACGTTCGTGGGACCGCCAAATGAGAAAACGAGCGCATTATATTTTACAGCTTCGATTTGAGCGAAAAAACACTTTCCGATCCTCGATTAATCGTTGTAATCTATTGCATTGCGGATACGTGTACGTATATCGATTGAGCATTATCTAGGTAAACGGCGTTACGATCATTCCTTTCGTGCTTGCATTTCATCCCAAAGTTAATCGAATTAGCTGGAACTTTAATTAAGATGCAACCTCGAGCTTGATAGGTAGGCCATTAGATAATGTAACGGCAGTTCTCGTGATAAGCAAATTTCAAATTCATTCTTCGATATTCAATTGGTTATCTAGTATTATGCACTACCACTAAAACACAGCACTGTACTTTAGAATGTTTTTATTTTTAAGGCAAATACTATTTTAAAGATGTAGCATTTTGTGTAACTAGAGTTTACTCGACAGATTTAAATTAATAAGACATAGCCCGTAACATATTGCAAGTCATTAAAATTAAAATTAATTAATTCCTGATGAAAAATTAAAAATACATATTACCGATTGATTATCACGCAGACAGTATTTGTTTAAACAAGTTTTTAAGTATGCAATAATTTGAAAATTATCGAGAAATTTGAATGTGCAATACCGATGAGAATATTTTACTTTGACTTTTAGACGTAGAAATAAATATCTGGTTTCCATAATTAGAAATTGGAATCTAGATATTTCGATAAATAATACACTTTATAAATGTATGAAAGAATGTTGTCATTTTGATTAATTCTATGAGATTTTATTGAACGTCATTATCATTATAGTCACATACTTTGTATCTTTGTATTTTATCATCTGAAAATAAAGGAATTTGTTATATGCACCAAGGATCCTTCGAAACACATTGCACTACAGATAGCATTAACAAATATTTAAGTAATTAAAAATGCTTCGACTTATTATTCGTGAGAGGTAATAAATCGAATTTCCCGCATATTTATTCAACTTTGGTTGCCACTGCTTTATGGATTATGCGTTATAAGTGAATCCCTTAAAAATTAAAATAAATCTTAACGATAACATCGACTTGCCCATAATTTTGATTTTAACATTTCAAAAACGCTTGATATTAAATTTAATATATATATATATATATATATATAGGCATTGTACAATAATTATTACTTTTGTATTGATAGTGAATCTTTTTTCATATTCAAGTATTAAAAAAACTACTAAATATAGATATTCTTTCTTTTTTAACAACTGTTATCAATCCTTTTTTTTTCTCTTACTTGGTACAAAAAATATTTTCTTCGTAATAACAATGATTTTTAATTTAATCATCGATTACTATATACTATCATTAACTTGGATTGGAACAAATTTACTTTTTTAAATTTTAATGTTTTCAAGATTCAATGTATTATTAGTATTAATTTTTTCACCCTTCTTATAATACAAAACAAAGAAGAAATAATAATAAGTATTTTATAAATATTTTGTGCGTTTATGAAGGAAACGTTTAGATACGATTAAACAAGAGTAGAAGTTAATCTTGAATTTTTAAGCATTACTTTGTTGTTTAATCTACTTTGAAAAACTGTCCTAGTTATTATTTTTATATACATTTGAATTCTTTTAGTAATAATGAAAGTTGAATTGTTGCATGGAAAAAGACTTGCATAATTAGCGATAGAATAACGTTGTATCAACTTGTCAATATCTATAAATTTGATTCCATTATTTACACAATTAAATTAATAGGAATTATTTCTCGTTGAGGTTGAAGTATTTATATCCTTTATTATTTCACTTTCACTTATTTAAGAAATATTTATAAAGTTCATGATATAATCAGAAGGGTTTAATATCTTGGATAGATTAAACTCTTTTGATTAAATTCAATAATTGTTAAAAATTATTGAATTCTAAATTAAATATCTAAAGTAGTTGAAATTAAACAAGTTCATCATACGTTTTTAATAATGAATTAATAGTTAATTATAGTTAATTAACGAATAGACCTTTTTGTTCTATACTTTAAAATGCATTTAAAAATATAATATTAAGACAATTTTTGTTTATTGTGCATAATATGATGCCTTGTTAATATTGATTTTAATTATCATTCATTCGCTTCATTAATATCTATCCGTACGATAAATCAATATATTTTTATATAACAATATAAATGAATATAGAATATTCATATTTTTATTCGTATATACAGATGTATCTATATTTATTTACTTTGTTGTTGTTGTTGTTGTTTTTTTTTATTATTTTTTTTTTTATTATTATTAAAACATAATATAAAATACTATAAAATTTTAATATGAGCTTACATTCTCGTGCACTTATAGAAAAATACTTATTTTACTATAAAAATATTTGAAGTCCAATAATTAAAGTAGCTTTATAATTTTAGTATTTAATAAATTTCTTTGTGAAGCTTCGAGCTAAGCAGAATATATAATTAAAGGATTAAAAGAAATTATACTATTTATTTTCCGTTGAATAAGTCGAATTATACAGTACATATTGCTACGTTTGTGGCGATTTTATTAATTGTTTTAAAAAAAAATATGTTTATTTATATTTAAAAGGAAAGAAGAAGAAAAAAAGAAGGGAAAAAACGTTATCCTGTTTATTGTAATATTGCCGTAAACTTAAATCTCGTTCATTTTGACATTTTTCCTAAGGTTTTATATTATTCAGTAAACAAATAATTTAATCGAAAAGTTATAAATTAAATTGAGTAATGTTTTGAAGTCAATTGTCACAATTTCTCTATTTTTGTCTCTTTCTTTCTTTCTTTCTTTCTTTCTTTTCCTTTTCTTTTCCTCTTTTTTTCTCTCCTTTTTTTTTCTTCTTCTTCTTCCTTCTCTTTTCTTTCTTAACATTAAACATTAAAATTAATTTCCATATAGAATGACGAATTATTTGATGAAAGTTGTAATATGAAAAGAAAATGGGTTAAGCCTATAAAGTTTGCCGGTCATAAACAAGCCAGCCTTGTCCGATTTTAATCCAAGCTGCAACATTCAAAACACGCAATCGAACACGAAGATTGCATCAAGCTTCATCCGTGGGTTGCTTTCGACGATACCCAATGCCGAGACAAAAACGTTACCAATAAAAAAAAAAAGCACCAGATTTGTAGTCATAAATTTATCGTTCTTTTTTTCTACCGCATAACGTAATTCTTGATTAAAATAATAATTAGTATTCAAATACTCATGTTAATTTTTATAATATAACGCAAGTAAGGTCTGAGTAATATAATTAAATTCTAATACAGTTAGATGAAGGTATACTGTTTAGCAATCATTTAAAAATATATTATCATATAATTTTTCTTATAAACAGATTCATGTAAAAATATATACTTATATGCTATAAATTGTCTATATCAAATTTGCGATAAGAATAATACAAAATACATATGATAGAAAAACATATAAAAACACATTTTACAATACAATAACAAATATTAAGTGATTTGCTTTGTAAAATTATATAGCTTTTCCCGAAAATATATTCAACGCTTATAAGACTCAACTTAACATTCAGTACAATTCATTTGATAATTACATCTCACTTATCTATACTGGATAGAACTTCTTTTGTGGATCTTTAGCCATGTCGTAAAGCAGATCACAAGGTTTGAAAAATTCTCCATAAGAAGCCGCAAATTCTTCCATTCTACCCACTAACTTATTAGCACTGTAATAGTCAACCCAGCGGAATGGCCCTCCGGTAAATGGTGGGAATCCTAAACCAAATACAGCACCAATATCACCCTCCAACTGTAATGAATTCATTTTATAATTATTATATTTTCATTACTAAGCATAAGTGAGCGCAAGCTTTTATTCTTTTTCTTTCTTTTTTGTTCTCTTTTTAGTAAAAATATCATATACGCTCCTTCCCTACGTACTCACCGGGTTAGCTAGAATTTTTTCTTGCAAGCATAGTACAGCCTCGTTAACGAATCGAGACACCAATCTCAACTGACGATCTTCGAATAATGTACTACCCTTCGGTTCGAGACTATACTTTTTCAGAATGTCTAAAGCACCGGGATTGACGTCTCTGTGCTTGGAACCCGACTCGTAAACGAAAATACCCTTGCCAGATTTTCGACCTAATTCGACAATTATTCGATTCGTCATTATGATATTTAATCGCATGATAACAATTTAATCTTTATATATATATATATATATATATATATATATATATATATATATATATATTCAAATAGCATAAGATAGTAGCGATGTTTCTTTACCGAGGAATCCTGCCTTCACCATTTCAGCTAAAATACTTTCGTTTCCTCCTTGGAATCGAACTCCAAATGTTTTATTAAGATCGACGCTAATATGGGAACCTACATCAATGCCGACTTCGTCGATCAAAGTTGCCGCCCCAACAGGGAAACCGAATTTTTTCGTAAGATCATCTAAATTCATGGGATCAACGCCTTCCTATCGAATATAATAGACATTATTTTTATGGAATAAAAAAAAAAAAATAATAAAATAATAAATCATAATATTCTCGGTTTATATACAAACTATATGGTAAGAAAAGATATTTACCTGCAAAAGCCTTACGCATTCCGACATCATGGCTGACAAGATTCTGGTAGTATAAAATCCAGGACCATCGCCCACCGTTATTACAACTTTTTTTTGCTTAAGACCAACATCTACAGCCAATTTGATTGTTTGATCAGAGGTGTCCTTATGTGTTATTATTTCCAATAGTTGCATTTTATCTACAGGTGAAAAGTAATGCATTCCAATGACCTAATATTCAGAATCGATATTGATTAAAAATTCATTGTATATTCAATTTTAATCAACACAATGATTAAAGAAATTACTTTATCCGGCCGTGAACTTCCTGCGGCGATCTTTGCGATGGGAATAGCAGAAGTGTTTGTTGCAATTATGCAATGTTCTGGAGTATTAGCTTCAATCTCTTTAATAACCTTATGTTTAATTGCAATATCTTCGAAAACTGCTTCAATAACGACGTCTGTATTTTTAAATTGATCGTAAGATAACGTTGGACATAAATCGGCCAAGAATCTTCCTCTTTCAGTGCTACGGACAACAGAAACAATCATTTTATTATTAATAAGAAAATTTCTGATTAAGAGTAATATTTTTTTACTTACGTGCTAATTGCTTTCCTTTTAACCTTCTTATCTAAATATGATTGGACTTGTCCAACTCCTCGACTTAGACCAGCATCATTCGTGTCTTTAAGAATAACTTTGTAACCTTTATCGATACTAACTGAGGCAATACCGGCACCCATTAAACCAGCTCCAACAACAGCGATTGATCTATATAAGCATTTAACATTTTTGTAACAATTATTATTGTTTAATTTACCGCAAGACGGTAAAGGAGATAAATTATAAATATTTTTACATTAGTTATTTCACCCTCATAGATAATAGTATTTATTATTCATATTTTTCTAAAATTGAACTAATACCATTAAAATGACAAACAATAATCATACATCCTATCGCTATTTTTTTTGGATATTTCACATATTATATGTTTAGGACTAAAAACTTTTAATTTTTTTTTATTAAAAAAATATGCTCTGTGTGCGCGCGTTAGCGCGCGCGCGGATAATTTTATAAATATATTTTTGTAAAATATTTTAAAAATCTAGACAGCCTAATTAATTAGGTAATTTTGCAAATTTCTAATTCATCTGAATATTTCGTATTTATGTACGTATTATGTACAAAGGATCGGTAATTAAAACTTATTAAAAACATAATTCTTATTTTATTTTTAAATATCAAACTGAATATTATGGTGATTTAATAATTAATTACTAGTAGTTATTATATTAAATAGTCAAAACGTAATTTAAATTTATTGTATTTAATAATTTCATCGAATTTCAATTAACTTAGCAATATTCATATTTGGAAATAATTGAATTTCATATATATTAAATCAATGAACTAACTGATTTTGTAAGTTTAAAACTGTTCCCCACTGTCATTTTATTACATTTAGAGATAAAATTATATTTTTCCAATCACCACTGTTTTATCATATATTGTAAGCTATAAAATAATTCTGCCTTACTTCGCTTTAATTTCTGGTGCTCCAAAACGATTCTTTTTACATTGCGTTTGACCAAAGAAAAGATTAACTAAACCTTTACTTTGGGGAGTTACGGATAATTCTCCAAATCCTTTAGCCTCTACTTCATAACCAGTTTTTTCACCTTTATCGAGACCCACTCTTATCACTTCTAGTATTTTTAGAGGAGCTGGATAAAGTCCACCAGTTTGTTTGATAACTTGAGCTTTTGCTCTTTGGAATATTTGATTTTTCACAAATTCTAATGACATGATATAATTTGTTAATTTTTCTATTAGCGTTTTTGGCTCTCTGTTAATTTTAATTTTTCCATTCGAAATGTCTTTTGCTGTTTTAATTGCAGTTTCTTCTAAATATCTTCTTGTACTATAAAATACAATGATTATTGAATATCGTAAAATAAAAATATTTGCATTATATTCAAAAATATTTTATTAAAAAATACTTTTCTTCCGCTAATGTTACACCTGGTCCCAATCTATTTACTAAAAAATCAACGAGTCCAAATTTTTTGGCTTTTTCAGCATTAATTCTTCTACCAGTTAAAGGTATGTCTAAGGCATTCGGTAGTGAAACTAATTTTGGTAATCTTTGAGTTCCACCACCACCAGGAAGAAGTCCAAGCATTACTTCGGGTAAACTCAAACCAGTTTCATTATCTTTTACTGCTAATCGATAATGACAAGCCAGAGCCACCTATCAACAGAGAGAGAGAGAGAGAGAGAGAGAGAGAAAAAATACATACATTAGAATATTCAATAGATCTAACATAATTATAGATCATTAAAACAAATACAGTACAAGATAAAGTAAGTTACTATACTTGGTCAGTATCGAGCAAATGTCTGTTTTAAATTAATAATATTAACAAACAATTTTTTACACAAATCATTATTATATTAGAAATATTTATCAAATTCAATAATATATCAAGAACAATCTAAAAAAAAACATTATTAATTATTACTTAAAATAATTAAAATACTGAATTTATTTTAAATCATTAATTTATACATACTTAAATATATTTTGTCTTACATTTATATTGTCTACTATAACATTATTTTCACAAATTCTTTTTATCAATAAATAATGATAATGGAAAAAATTGAAGTATAAGTATATGTTACTTCAGCAGCATATTTGTGTAAAATAAATTTGCATCTATAATAAAACACACTCGAGTGCTTTAATCAATAAATTGGTCTATTTTTCTAATTTCGAATGAAATAAAATAAAAAATAAACTAGTAATAAAAATACCTCTAACCCTCCACCGAAGCAAACACCTTGTATAGCAGCTACAATAGGTTTCTTACTTTCTGCTATTCTATTTAAAATATTTTGTCCGTCTTTCGATATCTTGTAAGCGCTGTGTTCGTCCTTACATTGTTGTAGCTCGGTGATATCTGCACCAGCAATAAAACAATTTTGTTTTCCACTTATCAGTACAGCTGATCTTACTAAAGCATCATTTTCTATACTTGTTAAAATTTGTTGTATTTCTTCCATTACTTCTCTACTTAATGTATTCACCTACAATACACATAATACATTAGTATATACTCGCATACGTTGCTTATAATCATAATAATATATTGTCTTATGAGGGATTTATTTGGATTAGACAATTATTACACGATTGATAATAAAATGACAACCTTGGTTCCTGGAGAGTCAAAAGTAACAACAGCTACATCGTCGACAATTTTGTATGAAAAATGTTTATTTTTTCCTTTTGCCGACATTGAACGTAATGGTTGATGTAATCCTAAAATGCATAAGAATATAGTTTAAATTCATTGAATTTGTAACATTTGTTATTTATAAAGAAGACATTATCGAAATAAAACTTTTTTTTTTTTATCATAATTAATGTATAACTAATATATATATATATATATATATATATTAATTATTAAAATCTCTTAGTTTTATTATTAAACCTTTGTACCACCACAGCCTTTTTATCATTTAATTTACTAGTATAATTTTTGTACGTATAAAATGAAATTAAAGAGATTTTATCATTAATAATTATTTAAGATGATTATACATAATAATGTTTGTTTATCTCTTATATTCGATAACTGATTACGATATCTGAAATCTTTAAATCATTTATCACAATTATCTTATTTAACAATTTGTATATTATAACGCAGAGATATAACAACATTATATCAAGCAATTAATAGGGTATACAACGTATAGAGTGCTACTGACGTCAAACTGTTTGTCAAACAGACAGGCCCAAGTACTAGTCATCCAAAAATGGACAATTGTGCTATTGGGAATTTGGACAATTGAGAATACTCGATGATGTTGTACACTATATTGCTTGTACCTTGTTTAGGGGGAGTTTTGGGTTTTGGGTTTTGTCGGATTTTTAATGACTTGGGAAGGGTTCTTATTGAATTGGGTTAGTATTGAATATGATTTTTTAAAATATCTATTCTTAAACAAAATTAAACAAATTAAAAGAGATACTCTGTGTTTTACACACCGAAAGAAATTATGGAAGGTAATTATTCTATTATAATACATAAAAAGTAGGTAATCAATTAATTTAAGTTAAGCATTTTGTTTCTATATTTATAATTAAATGTTTTATTTAATAAATGTATTGAATTAAAAAAAAAAAAAAAAAAAAAAAAAAAAAAAATTACTCATGTATACAAATGGATTATTTCCTATTAATGTAAAAAGAATCCAAGTATTATGCTCAAGAAAGTAGTTTTTCACATAAACAAAAACTAACCATATGTACGGGCAGTAATTATTTATTTATTCAGTACAGAAGACATATAATTAAGTGCAGAATCAAACGATTTATTATTAATTTTACAATTTTTATGTAAGTCGAAATAAAAAAATTTGTTAATTTATAAATGTATTATCAGCTGATAGTTGAATTACCAGCTTCGTAAAACAAAGAGGAGAATATTCATGTTATTTCGCAAACTATACGGAAAATTATTTTTCTAATTACTCATTAAAAGTATACTCAATTTGCTTGACAATAACAATTATAATTACTATAGAATAAAAATACATTAATAAATTAAATAAAATCTATTAATGTAATGTCAAATTTTTACTACCAATATACATTTAAAGTAATATGCAATAAACGTGTGCCTCTTCGTGTGACCTTATTACATTGACCTTACGTCAAAGAAGAGCTTTAATTTAAAAAATACTTGTATATGAAAAAAGCTCCAGATATCGTTTTATCGAAATAGCAAATACAATATATTATTGTCTAAAATTATAAAACAAATTTGCAATGTTAAACATATATTTTTAATAGTTGTTTTCAGATGCAAATTTCTGCCTTCCTATTCTTAAATAATTGTTTAAATAATCGTCCGTTTTTTTTAAATAAAAAATCTATTATAAAATCATTATTTTTGTATGCCTTTAAAAGGTATTTTCTAATTTATTTAACATCTTTATGATGCATAAGCAAAAATTGGTATTACGTAAATTACATTAAAATCTGGACTTACGGAGTCAATAATTTTCAATTAGACGTATGAATAATAGTGATCGTTATAAATGAAATATTATAATAGAAGCTGTTCAAATTGTTGATGTAATATATTCTTTTAAATAAATGAGTTTAATCGATAAATAAACTAGTCTTTTTTAAATTCTAAATTATAAAAGATTTTAAAAAGATCCAAATAAATAAATGATGGATTTCAATTCTTTTGCATTCTTTTAGCGTATTCTAAATGTTTTTTTTTTATTTTATTTATTTATTTATTATTATTATTATTTTATTTTTTTTTTCTTATTAAAAAAATCTTATCTATAAAAATACTTTAATTTAAAATATACTCGATAAATTATTAAATCAGTATTTGTTCAAATAAATAACTGCTATGCATTATAAAGCTACTTTGAAGTAAATTAAATAAACAAACCAAAACTACCGCTAACTTTACCTTGTAATTGAAATAAAAATATTG